ACTGAATGTAATCCAAAAAAGACCAATTTTTGAAAGGGACTCAAAGTCCGAAGAGGGAGCAGTCTCCTCTGATACCCCAAAAGAGGGCAGCTTTGGGCTGACAGGTTCATTGGGTGTCATAAACACTCCTGTACTGAAAACCTAGGCCAAGCAACTTGTCCATCCTCCTCAGAGCCAGTTACTTTGTGGTCCCCTTAACACTCCCACGGTCTGCCCACCGCCTGCACCTGGACCCTGCCTTCATTTCACCACCAGACAAAGGTCAGCCTGGCCCTGGAGCACACCCATCTGCCCGCCTCCATCACTTTCGGGCTGGGTAGTCCTGCGCAAGGCCCCACCCTGGCTGGGGCTCAATGTCCAGCTGCGTGAAATGGAGGTGCTCTGGATCTGTGATTACACGCAGTGCTCCTTGGAGAACTCCTCTCTCATGCTGTGGTGAAGGCAGGTGGGATCTGAGGGCTTGGGGCTCTCCAGTGCATGTGCACACTTTAGAACCTCACACCGGCCTTTGACACAGGTGTAGAGCCCAGAAACCTGCAAGTCCCTTCCCAAACTATGTCTGACCCTCTGCGTTGCGCCTGTCCTCCCGCAGGACCATCAGCTCCCAAGCGACCTTACCCTCCCCACCCTCACCTTAGCTCCTAGGGTCAAAGAGACTTGTCGGAGGAAGGGGGGGGTTGAGTGGGCGGTGTTGGAAGAAAAGCCCAACATCACTCGCTAATTCAGTTCCTGGTCGATTTCAGGGGTCCATTCACAGCTAGTTCAGCCACCCCTGCGACGTCGGGCTTCAGGGAGGGGAGAAGCAGACCTCCTTGTGCACCCCCAAGTCTCTGGGCCCCCGGGGAATCCCAGTGACTTTCCTCTTAGAGATGTGGGCTTTCCCCCTGCCTTCTGATACCAGCTTCACTCCGGACCCCTAGGCAGCTTCTCCCCAGCGGCGACGCTCGGAGCCTCCCAAGATCCGGGGTTACCCGCCCGTGTCCCTCCTTCCCCGCTTGCTCTGCCCGGCCAGAGCCCATCTTTCCCGGGAAGATTTAGCAGGGATTTAGGGGCCGACGGGGACGGTGGTGAGTTTTCCCCGCCCGCGGCGCCGGGAGGGAACGGGTGGTGCAGGCCGGAGCCGTGCATCCAAGGCGACCGCCCACTGCTCCCAGAGCCACACCTCCGCGCACCGACCCCCCGACGCCGTCCGCGCCGTTCGCCAGGCCCTCATCCGCGAGCCCTGTTCCGGGCCCCTGCCCCGCCTGGGGCGCTGGGGGCCTCGACAGCCTCACCTGCCCGCCGCGCGCGGCCGCTCCAGCTCCGGCCTGGCCGGCGTCTTCCGGAGCGGCCCGGCCCCAGCGCTCCCGGGCGGGCGTGACTCAGCGCCGGAACCCGCCCCTAACCAGCGGCAACGCCTCCGGCGCCCCCTGGGGAACTGCAGCCCCAGCCCAGGGCGCGAGGGCTGGTCCCGAGCTGCCCGCGAGATGACCTTGTCCGCGAGCGAGCTGCCCCGGACTTTGAAAGCCAAATGCCCCGGGAGGCCGGATGTCGCCTCTCCCCGCCTGCCAGCCGCCACGCCCCAGCTCTGCCCGAGCCACTCTGCTCCAAGTGTCCGCCCGACTTTTTGGGAGACACTTTTAAAGCCGCCAAGACTTAAGCGCGCGACTCCCCGCACACTGGCTGCGCCACCTTGGGCGCCTTACCAGCCTCCTTTCACGCGCCTACATAATATTAATAATTCCCCAAACCCGGCTGAGCACCTACTTTATGCCGGGCACTGTGCTGGGCGCTGGGGTTATCAAATGGAGACCAAAACGGACATGGTTTCTGCTTTTGTGGCGGCGACAGTCTGGGGAAAGGCAGATGTTAAACACCACCGAAAAAAAATACGAAAAACCATGTATCACCAACTGCAGTAAGAAAGATTGGGGGCGAAAAAGAGTGCCCAAGACCTTTCTCCAAGGATTAGAGTTAGCTCTGGACGAAGAGGAAGGAAGTGTGCTCTGGGTGTACAAAGACCTAGAGGCAGGACAATGATCTGGAAGTCTGTGCATTGCAAGCTACGAGGATCAAGCTAATGTAGTAAAATATTTTGTGTTGCAGATTAGTTTGCCCAAAGCAACCAGAATGATTCATTTCTTTTTTTTTT